TCAGATTTGACGGGTCTAGGGGAGGGCTTGGATCCGTTGGATCGATGGGTTTGGACGGCTCAGATCAATTTCGCCTAAAACGGCGTCGTTTGGACTTAGTAGGGGCCGCATTGGACCGTTTGATTGCAATGAATCAACGGCTCAGATTGAGGCGTTGATACGACGTTGTTTGGGACGTGCCCGGGCAGCCTGTGTTTGGACTGGACCTGTGTGCTGGTGTTGGGCCTCACTTTGGGGCCCAATCCGATTTTCCCACAACCTTTTCCTTGCAACCCAATTAACAAAATTAAAAATTCCTAAAAATAAAACTTTGTAAAAATTAAAGATGAAATCATACACATGTTGGTTAACACCTATAACAATTACCACACAATTTAACGTTAAATACAATCACTCAATGACAAAAGACACTTAGGATTTTTTTTTTTGGAGTAATTCCCGCGAAGCAAAAATCACGTGCTTACAGTCCTCTTTCAGGCGAGGTCCCCTTGATCAGATTTTGATCCATACACCACTATGACACAATTTGACAATAAAACTTATGTTTGTATTGGCCATTTCCTTAGTCCAAACCTCTTTTAGGTAGGTTCCCCAAATAGTGAATACATTTGCAGTGGCATGATGGAAAACCGTCCAGATCACTACGATATTCTCTTGTAGGGATAAGTTTTTCTTGTGGAGATAAACCTCCCTAGCATAGTCTTTTAAATAAAATAGTGTATCAGAAGCATATCTGATGCCATAGTAATGCTTAAATGTATTGGATCCATCCCATATAATACATGTGAAAGAAAAGTTTTTTCTTTTGGTAAGAATTGCACCATCCAGATCCATGCTTTGTCAAATAAAAATTTGACTGGCAAGGAAAAGTCAAAGAAGAAGACAAGTTTGGTTAAGTTTAATATTATTAATGACATCACTCATATCCTTGAGAGGTTCTTCACCTCTCCTTCAGTCTTAAGACACACCAAACAAAGAACAATTAGCAGAGTAGCAAAATACTATATGAAGAAAAATATAGAGTTTGAGCGGTATGGTAATGATGTGGAAAAATCCAAAGAGGATTATTTCTTGCAAGTGTGTATTTTTCCAACAATTGGTAATGGAGATTTCTTCATATGACAAAGAAGGATAAAGGACTTACTCATCCAAGAAGGGTTAAACATTGCACTAGATGGAAAAAAAGACCAAGCCCAAATTTGTGAAAGTTGAGGATTGGGCGGCCATAGATAAAAAGGCGGCTAGTGCAATCAGATTGCACTTGTCCGATGAAGTGCTCAATAATGTTGGCAACGAAAATAGTGCATTCACATGCAATGCATGTGAAAATGCCTCTTAGAGTCTATGTAAGTCTGAAGAAAATATGTTTATATTTGGCTAATTTCCTACAATCTACTTATTTTAAAAAGTACTTTTTATCACTAGTGCTATTCGACAAAGTTCTTTGAAGAATTTCACTTTGATTAATTTAAAAAGCAATTTTACTAATATTGGAGTAACAAGTTGTGCTTGGCAAGGTTTCAAAAGTGTTTTTGGAAAAAAGTTATTTTTTCAACTTCTGTCACTACACAAATGTTTTTTTCTTCTTCTAAAAACTTAGCTAAATAGCTTATCTCTAAAATAAACACTTTCTTAAAAAAATAATATATATATATATATATATTTGGACCAAAAGGCATAAAAAAACTTGTGAGAGTAAAGAGAAGATTGAAGAAACTTGTAGGGCGAAAAATACAATAAACTATTTTATCTTTTTTGAGATGCGATGGGGAGGGGAACCAATAGGGTTCATTACTTGGTTCTAGATGTTAGGGCACACACACACTGTTTTGTAATTCCACCTCTCCAACTCCAACAAGTCAATATTAACTGCAAAAAGAGAAGATGGAGGAGTTGAAGAAGAGGAAGCTTGATGAAATGGCCAATAATGGTCAAAGTGATTCTAACTCAACATCATCATTATCAGTAGAAGAATTGCGGTCTTTGCTTGATCATTTTGCTAAACCCCAGCTTGTTGATCTTCTCGCTAAACTGTATGTATTTTTAATTTTCTTGGTGATATTTCTCCATTTTTTTCTGTTTTTTTTTCTTTTTTGAATTTTTACAAGGTAAGTATTGGGGATGTTTATTGGGATGAAGGGTTCCGTAGTAATAAATGCTAAAAGTTGGTTGCTTTTTCCAATTCTGAAAAGCCCTTTAGTTGCTTTTATCATGAAGTGTGTGTAATATATAGAGGCATTTTTTTTCGTGAGATACTTCGTCCCGATTTAGGGGCGGTATTTGATTAAGCACAGAGTTTCAAATTAAAGACTTTTGAAATTTGTACCCTAAAATAAGTAATACACATTTGTGTGGCTATAAATCATCTAAATGTGTGGCTATAAATGATTCTTTCGGGGACAAACTTAAAGAGAGTATAATTTAGCTGTAACACTTTGGCTGTCTGAGAAGAACTTCTTTTTGTTAAATGAGAAGAAGTTGGAGCTGAGCTTTTGATTCTTATAGGCAAGTTAATCATGTCCTCAGTTACTGGTCAGAATTAAATTATTGAAGGAAACTTGGTGGACCATTGATGGAGAATATGGTTTTATAATTTCTCAAGTTATATAACAGGGTTAAAGCCGTTTAATGAAAGTAGAGAGGGGCCGGGCTTCTTCAAGGTTTAAGTTATTGGTTGAATGTGTCGAATGAGGAAACATCTGTGTTATCAGGAATCAAAGACTTTAGTGCTAATAGTAACACGTCGGTGACCTATCATTGAAAATTTCATCACATGCCTAAGTATAAGTAGTATATGTCATATACACTATCTCATGATTATCGTTTGGCCTTCTTATTGAGTTTACATCTGATTTTTTAAAAAAGTATTGATTTTAGCGCTCAATCTTGACTAGCAGAAATTCTTCACATTGAACATTGAATCACTTATTTGCCTATGGCGGGAAGTGGAACAATATTAAAAACATACTTACAATCTTATTTTTTCCTATTTTGAGCGAAGTTTAATGTAGGGTTTAGTGCAGTTTGGTCTTTCATGTTAGCACTAGTCTTATGGTTCAGTTTGAGTATATCCTATTTTCTTTTGATGGTGCTCGTTAGGTTATGTGCTCGTGCTAGGGGGACATTTTTTTATGTTCCTCGTAATTGTGTGTGGTGTGAATTGACATTGTGCATGTGTGCTTGTTTGCATGTTTGGCGTGAAGAGGGTCACAATACCCTTCTATTGCAGAAGAAATTAAAAGTGTTGCAAGCGCAGAACAATCAAATAATAAAGATAGTGTTGCAAGTGCAGATCCAGCTCTTCGAAAGCTTTTTGTCCGTGGTTTAGCTTGGAATACTACATCAGAAACTTTGTGTGCTGTGAGTGCATTGCTGTTTGGTGCTTGTGACTTTGTGTTCTCTTGGTGATTGTGCAAATGATGATATGAGTCCTTTAAAGGATTGTGGTCATGAAGTTTCATGTCACCTTCTTTTATCTTTTATTGAATCTATTTGATGTGACCTCTCTCAAACATTCAGCAAATGCATGCATGTTTCAAATAGCATCATTAAGGATGATTGTGTCCGCAGGCGTTTACAGAGCATGGTGAAATTGAAGAGGGTGCTGTGATTACTGACAAAGTAACTGGAGTATCACGTGGCTATGGTTTCATCACTTATAAAGACGTGGAATCTGCTCAGATGGCCCTTAAAGCACCAAGCAAGATGATAGATGTAAACACTTGATTCTTTGATTATGTTGTCTTGATATTTGAACTTTGTTGGAAATTTATATGTAGTTTTATTATGTCGATTGCTTGATGCTAACAATAATAATAATAATCAAAAGAATTGCTTTATGCTAATATTTCACTCTCTTTTCAAGAAGTATTTGTAGGCCTACTGTAGCTAGATACTCTGCAATTTGGATTAAGTGAAACAAACTCTGAAGCATGTGTTGAACTTAAGTTCTTGAAGTAAAACTTACCTATCAAAACACAGGATATCTCAATATCTCACTTACCGTTTGGACCTTCTTGACTCAAGATAAATGAGATGTAAAGTTTTCTTTGCTAACATACCTGTGCAGGGTCGCATGGCTGTTTGTAACCTCGCTTGTGAAGGTTTAAGCAGTACTACTGTTACCGCTGACCAAGCCCAAAGGAAGCTGTATATTGGAGGTTTATCATCAGACACAACAAGTGAGATGTTGCTCAGCTTTTTTAGTAGGCATGGTGAGATAGAAGAAGGTTCAGTTGCATATAACAAGGACACGAAGACATCACGGTAAGAGATACTTCTCTGTTTGCATAATAAATAATAAAACTGTTCCGTCTGTTAGCATATCTCTAACAAGTTTGTAATTTTGTATGAAGTGGTTTTGGTTTTGTCACATACAAGACGGTTGAGGGTGCAAAGAAAGCTCTAAACGATCCACAAAGGATTCTTGGGGTAAGGAGACGGTCAGCTATCTTTCTACAGATGATGCTCATAAGTTTTGTACTATTCTGCATACAGTATATAATGAGACATTTTCAATGCTGTGAATATTATGGTCTCCTTGCTAAGAGTAGTACTGGTGCTCGGTGAAGTATTGAACTAGGAAAATTTTGTTATTATAGAATGAAATAGATAATGATTGTTACGTGTTGCTGGTACAATTAAGATTTCCAACTTATTTGTCGTCTAAAGATTTTATGTTTATTTATTATGGTTGCAGGGCAGGAATCTTACTGTGAAGCTTGCTGATAATCACAAGGGTAAAGTTACTCAGTCCCAGGTACGAGCAACTATGGTGCCAATGTCCATGCCATTGGCACCTGGGTATCCACAAGCTCAGAAGACGCATTCCGGCCCGGCAGCACCTGTTGGTTACGGTTATCCGCAAGCAATGGCTGCTTACACAAATTCAACATACTCAAGTCAACCAGCTGCTTACACAAACTCAACATACTCAAGTCAACCAGGTGCAGCTCCTCCATACTCGGGCCAGGCTCAATTTCCTTACCCCCAGTATCCTGTTAAGCAAGAGCCTCAAACAACACCAGCTTCTTTTGGAGGTTATCCATACTACATGGGAAAGCAATGAGTACCGGCACCTGAATCCTAGTAGTATTGGCCTCAGTTTGTTGTCTAATTATATAGCTACTTTGTGCTAGTCGCTTCAAAGTACCTGTGCCATGTATTTGATGTTGTGTATTCTTTCTTACTGTTAGAATACATACATTTTTTAGCTTAGAAGAGAATATGTAGTAAATGACCTGAATGTAAGATTAGATTTTACTCATGGAAGTTAGTTAAAAGACTAGGAGCCTGTTTGGATGGGCTTATTTTAAGTGACTTTTAAGCCAAAATAGCTTTTAAGCCATAAGTTAGGAATTCTAGCTTTTGACTTTTGGCTTGTTTTTGTCATTTTAGCTTAAAAATAAGTGCTTAAAAGTGCTCTTTTAACTTTATCCGAACACTACAAAATGGCTTAAAAGTTATTTTGGCTTAAAAGTACTTAAAATAAGCCAATCCAAACGCGCTCTAGAAGTTTTAGACAACGTGGAGGTGCAGGTCTCTGGTATCAGCTATAAGCTAACATCCTAGTACATAGATAGAACACGAATACGAAAGAGGGTGTGGCCTCTGATTCTTTCCTTGGATAGTTCCTTGTAATATTGCTTTGGCATCAGTTATGTTATTGTTGCATTGCCCATAGAAGTCAGAAAAAGCTCAAAGGACATCACCGTTGTCATTCCTGATAACTCCACCACCTAAATTTTCATTCCTGATAACTCACGACCTAAATTTCCTGGGTTATCCTTACTACAACCATCTTTATTAAGTTTGAAGCAACTTGGCCCTGGCTTGGTCTACCCGACGAGAGAACTTGATTTTCCTTCAATTGCAGGGTACTAAGCCACTAACCACTTCATGTTTGGGGAAATTTAACCTTAGAAATAAACATAAATCTACACACCTGTTGAATAATAATTCTAGTTGGCATGTTAATCTCTTCAAACTTAGCAATTCATCTACTCTTTATATTCCCACAAATAACAAAGAGGAGGCATTAAATTACGTGAATCAAACTGTTAGCCTTAGCTAGGGGTGACAAATAGGCTGGTTGAATCGGATATGTGCGGGTTGAGAACAGATAATGCAAAAAAACGGATAAATTATCCAACCCGACTCATATTTAATACGGATAAAAAAAAATGGGTTAATCAGCCGATAATATGTGAGTGCCCTTCCCTCTTGCTTCCTCATCTTTTTCCAGATTGATCTGTAGGTGAAGTCACCTTTGGGATTTAGAGTCCAGATGGGATGATATGCCTTGGCTTTCTGTATCTGGATGTTGTTCCTAATAGTGAAGACCACTTCTCAAGGTGGGATAATATTGAGCAGAGATTTGTTTGGTTACATGCCTCCTATCTATAAATTCAGAGACCTCAGTATTCTTGTGAGCATTAATGTATTGGACCAATCTGGCCAGAGGATCCTTCCAAGTCCAGTAATGCCAAGTAACACAAATAATTATTAAAACAAATAAACTCAGGGTGGTTTGTCTATGAACAGGTTATACTAGGATAATAATGTGATGGTTATAATTTGAGGATTACGTAATGACGATTTATTTAATAAATATACTTTTACAGGTACCAAATATGTAGTGTATAATACAAAAATATATGTTTATTTTTATGCTAGATAATTCTAATTTTAACCTTGACTTTCTTAAAAGATTTTTTAGAAGAGTGGAGAAAAACAACTATATCATTTTATTATGGGATAAATAATCTCAGAATTGTTATCCCGCATGAGTATTGTATAAAAATAATACCACAATTGCAATAAAAATAATCCTAAGAATTATTTATATCGAAATAAAATAATCCCTACTTTATACTCTTTGGTTCACAATAAGCGATCATTTTACCTTTTTATTTTGGTCCAAAATAAGTGTTTATTTACATAATCAAGAAGGAATTAATTTTTATATTTTCAAAATTTGCCCTTATTTACACATTACAATGTGTCAAGGTAACAATTAATTAAGGTTACATTAGTGAATACATTTTTTTTTATAGGAGTTCGTATTTCTTTATTGAGTATGTCAAAGATAAAATAGTAATTTATTATGGACCTAAACAACATCATTTATAATTGTCCTTTATCCTCGTAACCAAACCACCCTCAAGAGATAGTTTTTGCAAATTGACAAGAATGACCCGAATTTCTTTTAAAACTACCACATTACCTACCAGTCCTAAAACCCTTTTCGATTTTGGCACAGAGAAACGACTTCTCTCCCTGAAGTTCTGCTTTGACAACTCTGAGGTCATCAAACTTGAGCTCCTCGAATGGCTTTCACCTTGCTATAGAATCAGCATACGTCATTGTTGTCAAAGCTCAAAACCCCTTTTCCCCTCAGAATCCAAAGCCAATATCCCACAAGTCTCAAGGTAAGGCATTTCTTGAATAAGCATATTTCTTGTTCTGTGTCCATTGCTTTACTGCATAAAACACAGATACCATTAGCCATGAACCATTTACAGAAACTGAGAACTCCATTAATTCTCAAATGGGTTTCTTTTGATTTTGTTTTTAACCATTCTAAATCATCAAAATCGATTCTTTGGGCAAGTGGGTCGTTCCACATTGCTGAAAAGGTTAGGTTTTATGCAACTAAAAAATCTGCTAAATCTAAATTAGAAGAAGAATGTCATATACCTCGTGCGGTGAGGAAAGAAGCACAAGCTGCTTTGTTAGAGTACTTGCATTCCACAAGAAGTTTGCAGTTTATGGATGCTGAACACATGAGTAAAAACTCACCCTTTTTCCTTTCCAAGTTGTTAGAAAGAGTGGATAGTGAGACTGATATTCGTCATTCTTTAACTCGATTCTTGCGATACCATCCAATCAATGAATTTGAACCATTCTTTGAGAGCATTGGTCTGAAACCTTCTCAGTACTTGGCATTCCTTCCCAGAGATTTGATGTTCTTGAACGATGATCAGAGGTTGCTCGATAGCTATCACGTCTTGTGTAATTATGGTATTTCGCGAAATAAGATAGGAAGGATTTTTGCTGAAGCTCCAGAAGTTTTTAGATATGATCCTGGAGAGCTGGACTCGAAACTTCGTTCTTTTCACGGGGTTGGGCTAGATCAGTCTGCTGTAGTTAAGCTTGTTAGTGCAAGTCCGCATCTTTTGATTGGGAATGTACATAATGAATTTTTTGAAGTTGTTGAGAAATTGAAGGGAGCGGGAGTTGAATACAGTTGGATTGAGGAGCAGTTGAATGGAAATTCCTTCAATTGGAACCAGTTATTCGAGCTCATGTGCTTCTTCAACAGGTTGGGGTTTACTGATGAACAATTAGGAAAACTAATATGTCAAATTCCTGGTCTCCTGTTTGATTGTTCCGGACATACTACATTTTCGCTAATTGGATTCTTGTTGAAATTTGGTTTTCAGAAGCCCGAATTACTTGATGTATTTCTACACTTCCCACAAATTCCAGTAACGAAATTTGTATTCAATATGCGGCAATGCTACCAGTTCTTGATTGAAATTGAGATGTCTGTCCTAGAGATAGGAAGTATTGTTCATTCTCACCCTACATTGCTAGGGTCGTGTGTTTTGAAGAAAGCTACCAGCCTGTTGACTATCCTGAATACTGGGAAGAAGCGGCTTTGTAGTGTGATCAAGGAGAATCCAGAATTTTTGAGGAATTTGGTTCGTGGAGCCAAAGTTGAACGATTGCCAATAGCTGTGGAGGAACTAAGATCCAAAATGATGAAAACTAAGTTCCTTTTGGATTTGGGTTTTGCTGAGAACTCGAGCGAAATGGAGAAAGCTCTCAAAGTATTTCGAGGAAAAGGGGTGGAGCTCCAGGAGAGGTTTGATTGTTTGGTAAATGCTGGTTTGGATACAAAGCATGTTACGTCAGTGCTGAAAATATATCCGCAAATACTCAATCAGAGGAAAGAGGTGCTTGAAGCAAAGATTGATTTCCTTGTGAATAAATTGGGTTATCCGCTGTCTGCTTTAGTTTCGTTTCCATCTTACCTCAACTACACAATTCCAAGAATCAGGCTTAGGCTTTCAATGTATAATTGGCTCAGAGATGAAGGAATAGTGGATTCAAAGTTGGCTTTGAGCACTATTATAGCTTCCTCAGAGAAATTATTCATGAAGGCATATGTAAACCCTCATCCTAAAGGCCTTCAAGTTTGGCAAGATCTGAAAAAAGAGATATATCCTGATTAAGTGATATATATCCTAGTCGCTCCATCTGGCTACATTCGCAAGGGAAAGGTTGAAGCTTGAAGTCTATTTAAAGTAGCAGTCTCCTGCTTAGGTTAAGATGAGTACCATTTCTAAATGTGTTTAAACGAAAAGGAGCAGCCAGCCAGGTAATTCCGGTTACTGATCCACCATTCAACTAGATTAAGGCTTGTAAAGAATGTTCACGTTTGCACGTAATGTTCGCTGTCTTGATTTCACCTTGTCTGTCTTTTCCAATGACAATAGCTTCTAACTGCTTTTATTGCCTATTCAAAAAAAAAAAAAAAAAAGAGAAACTGTGTTTACTTGCTTTGCTATACTGGTAAAAAATTCTTCGTCTCCGTTATGAACTGTTCTTAACATTGACCTCTCACTTGCTTTATGATTGGTAAGTAAACAAAGGACCATCTTACTTGTACTAGGACTTCTTTTTTGATATGGTGACTTGAACCCACAACCGTAAGGTTCCAGGCAGAGGCGGATCCAAAACTTTGGGAAGATGGTGCACTATTATGAAGAGGTAAATCCAGGAAATAATTTTACAGGTTCAACCTTTACTTTTTTCGTATATATCTATACTACTCAATGTGTCAGACTTGGAAATTCATACACCAAACAAAGAAAGGAAAAATAAGAAAAAATACTTAATTAATACGCAAGAAATGACTCCAGGCATGCCCATCTCTCGTGGGTGCGGCAAATTCTAGAAAAAAAAGGAAAAAAAAAAGATAGACATTAGATTTAACTCCCAACCTCACTTAGAAAGGTGCACCCAATAACCATTGCATCGTATGATACTTTGAGATTGGGTGTACACTTTAAGCATAACATTACTATACATGATCTTGGAAGAGGAGCATGGATTCACGTGACCCCGGGAATCCCGCTTAGATACACCCCTGGTTCCAGGTGGAGAGTAATTTACTCTTGAGCTAGCCTCTCTTGTTTGTCCTTGTACCAGGACTAAATACAGATCGTAGGAGAATAATGTTTTTCTTTTGCCAAGTGGAAGACTAAATTCCGGCATTTTGGGCTCATTTTGGTGCTTAGCATTCACGGAAAACTCCCTACTTGTGATCAATAGCATGCTCAAAGCACTCTATTTTGCATCTCTGGAGTTTGACTTTTCAGAAACCATTGAGTCATCATAGATGATAAAGAATGTAATTTGCCACTTTTATTAACGTCAATAAGTTTGTAAGTCTTCTTTCTTTCTTTCTTTCTTTCTTTCTGTTTCTTAAGTCAACTCCATAATTGATGAATCTAGT